AAAAAACACAACAAGGGGGGGGGGGGGGGGGGGGGGAGAAGTTGTCCAAACCCTTCACTTCACACTGCAATTCGCTGAAGGCCTGATAATGTCCAGTTTTTATCTCTGCAATAAGGTGATGGGAAAGGCTTCCTGTGGAGCCAAGGTCGAAGAAGGCTGCGGCTCCAACAGCCAGACCTCAGCAGCTCCTGCAGGGAACATGGTAGGCAGGGAAGCTGAGCTACTGCAAGACAGGGGAGGTCATGAAGGCCCCTTCCAACCTAGAGGATTATATGAGGTGCCAGCCAGGAACCCACCAGAAGCCCTGAAACAGGATTTGCCTCTGCTGCCCGTCCTGCCAGAGACCAGGCCATGCTCTGTAGCCAGAAGCCTTGGCACGGTCTGAACTTGACGCTGACATGAGGGGGGGTTGTGGTGGGTGTCCGACATTTTATGCCGCCACAGGTGCATGCTCCTACACTGAGGTGTGACTGCCCAAAGGTCCCTTCCACCCTAGATGATTCTACGAGGCGCCAGCCAGGAACCCACCAGAAACCCTGAAACTGGATTTGCCTCCGCTCTCCGAAGTAATAGAATGACATTAAAACACCATGCATGTTAAACATGCTTAAACTATTTAGGTGGAAGTCAACACCATCGCAGAGGGAAGACAGCAAACAGTGGTGGTTGAAATACAACCACTCCACAAGCAGCGAAAAGTGTGTGTTAATTACATTGACGGTGTTACAAGTAGTCGAAACTCTTTATCTCACTTTCTGCTAAATCCTCGCTGTTGTTTAGCCAACTCCCCGGAAACTGACATAATCAGAAGTACTCAGCACATGCATGCTGTGAAAGAGCTGTGTCAGTATCACACAGGTGGGATGACTTGTTTGGGTAAAGCCAAGACAACAAAAGCCCTTATCCATGCCGCTACAGGTGCACGCACCTATGCTGAGGTGTGACTGCCCGAAGGTCCCTTCCAACCTAGATGATTCTATGAAGCGCCAGCCAGGAACCCACCAGAAACCCTGAAACTGGATTTGCCTCCGCTCTCCGTCCTCTTAGAGACCAGGACTTGCTCCACAGCCACAACCTTGATTTCACACTGACTTGAGAGGGCGTTTTGGTGGGTGCCCGACATTTCATGCCGCTACACCAGATTTTGGATAGCCAAAGTGACCAGTAAACTCCCAATGACCAATGTCCTCTTAGAGATGAGGATTTGCTCTACAGCCACAGCCTTGATTTCACACTGACATGAGAGGGCGTTTTGGTGGGTGCCTGACATTTCATGCCGCTACAGGTGCATGCACCTACACTGAGGCATGGCTAAAGTTTGCAGCACTTTTTGTATTTCTAGAAGTAATCCTGGAATCTCTACAGACAGAACAAAAAAACGATGCCTTTTGAGTGTCAATCCTTGTTTTATGTGCTTGCTTCCTTGGAGACTTCCTGTACTAGAGATTTTTGCAATCATAAACATAGCATTAGAGAATGTTTTTCAAAGAGGAGTCAACAGAAATATGACATAAAACACCTATCTGCCCCGAGCCCTGAGGGTGCTGGGTGGACACGTAGGGTACCCACCTGCTCGCCAGCCTCGCAGCTCCCCGCCCGGCCGCCCCTTTGCGCGGGCCGGACCCACCACAGGTGTCCCGAAGCTCGTGCTGGTTCCTCACACGCACTGAGGCGAGGAGGCGACTGCGGAGCGGATCCCGCCCCCGCCGCGAGGCGCCGCGAGGCGCCGCGCTGAGGCGGCGGAGCGCTGGGCCGGGCTGTCCTGAGGCGCCGGCGGGCAGCCCCTCAGGTCGGCGGGGCAGGCAGGCTCCGGGCGGGCTCCCCATCAATATAAATGGCCAATACTATTATTTTACAAATAGGTAAGTCCTTTAATTGTAAAAATACTTGATTTTTAAATCTTTGGAGAAAAAGAGTATTGCTTTTCTCAGTTAATAATATAAATTTTTTATTAACCTAGAAAATCTCTGATATGTAGGAATATGCACCAAAAATATGCCTGGTAGCGCTATTTAAACCAACAGAGTTTTAATCAACTGTTCTGCTTCCACTAATAATGATAGAAAGAATAAAACTCAGAAACTGAGGGGGGGGGGGGGGGGGGGGGAATCATATAATTCAGAAACTGTCCTGCTCCCGAGCCATGCGCGTTGGGTCAGTGCCATCTAGAGGCAGAAAACCAGCCAAAAACACCCAAAGCACCCAAAAGCACCCACAGCCCTGGGGTTCACTTAGCACCCAGTGGTCCCAGCACGTCGGGGAAGGAGACCCGAGAGGGGATGCTGTGTCTCACCCAGGGGATGCAAAGCCACCAGCCCCTCCTCTGGCTGCTGCCCCATGGGACGCGCAGGTGGGGAGCCACGCTGCAGCCTGGCAGCCCTGGGGAGCAGGCAGCACCACATCCTGCATCCCACATCCACATCCTGCATCCCACATCCCGCATCCACATCCTGCATCACACATCCCGCA